GTCCCACGTACAACTCTGTCACCTTTGCTGCAGCGGGGCCAGCATGCAACTGGGTGCTCAGGGCCCTGTGGGTGCCTCCTGCAGTGGCTGGCAGACCGCGTCTGCCCATGGTTCTAGGCTGGGGCTCTGCCTTGGCCAGCAGAGCCACACTTGGCCATTTGCAGCAAGTCGCAGTGGCCTTGGGAACCTTGCAGCCTGCCAGGTGGTGTCTGTCTCTGGCCTGTCTTGAGGGGTATGGTGTAGGCAGCTCAGTGTGTGAGGGGTCAGGGCCTGCGTGCTGTATGCAGCAAGCTCTGGGCAGGCTGCAGCCTTGCTTGTGTTCCCAGGTTAGCAGCAGATGAGGGCCCCTGGGGGTGCCCTTATGGGGCCTCAGACTAGGCACCTGTCCAGTGGCTCAGGGGTAACTGAGCCTGAGCTGGGCCGTGCTGGGGAGCACAGTCGTGCATGTGTGTACACGTGTGCACCCCCCCACACACACACAGGTTGGGGGGTGTCTGCCTTTGTCAGAGTGCAGTCATGGAGGCTGCCTTGTCTTGCTGCCAGGGCAGGCGGGTTCCCCTTCCCCCGGCTGGGCCCCATCTCTGGGGTGGGCAGGGGGCATTGCTGTGTGTGTGTGCCCCCATGCGTGTAGGCAGAGCGGTGGGGAGGAGGGGTGCATGCTGGCCCTTGCTCCTGCAACAGCCTGGTCTCGGGAGGCGGGTGCTCAGGCCTGGGGGGCACTGGGGCCTGGTGTGAGGCCCCCGGCCAGTGGAACACCCTGTTCCTGGGCATTGTGACACCCCCTGCTCTGTGCGGTCAGAGTGCCCCGGCTGTACCACTTGCTTGGGGGAGGCCCTGGTGGGAGGGGGCCCACAGGGGAATGGGGCTGCAGGCTGTGCCCAGAGCCCCTCCGTGCGCTCCCGGCAAGGCCTCTCCCGTCCCTGCCTTCCCCCTCCTGGGCTGCGCGGGGTCAGGAGAGCTGTTTCCTCCAGCAGCCGGCTCTGTGGGAGGAGAGAGCCGGGAATGTGCTGAGCGGGAGGGAAATGGCAGCCGGCAGCCCAGCCGCTGGCCCCTGGCCATAGGCAGCACGTGGAGCGGTGAGTGCTGCCTCCACATGGCTGCAGCCGCCACTTCCTCCTGCAGGTCCCAGCCAGCCCCCAGCCCTCTCCACCAGTGCAGGGGCTGTCCAGGCTGGTTGGAGCAAAGACTCCCAGCTACCAGGGGCTGGTAGCTATTTCCTGTCCCTTTTGGAAGGGGCCGGTGGGGAGTGTGCCCCTCCTGCTCCGTGCTGATGGCTGCTTTGCTTTCCTGCAGATCCGAATACGAGATCCTAACCAGGGCGGCAAAGACATCACTGAGGAGATCATGTCTGGAGCCCGGACATCTTCCACCCCCACTCCCCCACAGGTAAGGAGCTGCCCTTTCTCCCCCCCCCATGAGGGCTCCCTTCCACTGG